TTCAGGTGGAAGCTTTCATGGCAAAGATAGAGGCACTCATGGACTTCTTTTGAAGAAGTATCAGAATCTGGAAAGCTTGTTGTGTCTGGTAGTGGCTCAATGGAGCAGGTAAAGCAACTGATAGTTTGAGTTTAATTGAACAATCGGAAAGTGGATTTACATCAGAAGTTACTGGCTCAACTTCTGCCGAGGCAGAATTTGGTTGGAATTTAGATGGAAGTTCTCATGGCACCAATTCTGAGATGGCACCGGAAACATCGTTATCTTTACAAGAGAGAAGCATTCATGGATCTTCGCTTATGAAAGAAGTATCAGAAGCTGGTAACATTATTATCTCTGGTAGTGGGTCCAGGGAGCAGATAAAGCAACCTGATAGTCTGATTATAAACGAACAATTGGGCTCTTTAGGGAAGGATGGCGAGTTAAAACAAAGGAAGCTTCAGAGGAACAAACAAGTCCTGAGAGATAGATTTGATGAATGGGAAGAAGCGTACGTACTTGAAACCGAGCAGCGGAAAAATGATGAAATGTTCATGAGGGAAGCATTATTGGAAGCCAATAAGGCTGCTGATATCTGGGAGGTTCCTGTTGGGGCTGTCCTAGTACAAGAGGGGAAGATTATTGCTCGTGGTTGTAACCTGTAAGTTTTATAATTTTAATTGAAGCACAGTTGTTACTTAATTTCTTTTGAGTAATTTACATAGAAATTATGTTATAGAGTAGAGGAGTTACGGGACTCAACAGCCCATGCAGAAATGATTTGTATACGGGAGGCTTCAAAACTACTTAACTCATGGAGACTTGCGGTAACTTCTATCTATTTTAAACTCTTTTTTTTTTTAATTTATATATTTTCATCTTTACTTTATTTACTTATTTTATATTCTTCCAGGAATGTATTATTAGTTTAGTATAATGATGTGTCAGTGAGTCTAATCTAAAGATTGGGTCCTTCACATGTTTAACAAGCAATGTGGTTAGAGTATTACTCTCTAGAGTGGATTTGAAAGGTATTTTGAAAGAGCTGAATAGAATAACTTGTTCTCTGTAAAATGAAGACAAGACTTTGAGCTAATGCTGTTTAAGCAAAAATATGATGTAAACAGAACAAAAAAGAATAAAGTACTTAAAGACAGACCAGAATCCACACTAGCACATGGCAATGAGGTTTCCAACCTTTTGCTGCATGTAGTTAGTTGTGTGAAAATTATGGAACTATAATCAATCGGGAACAAGCAGTGGCTTTTATTGGGAAAAGTGCTGAAGTGTGTTCTCTTGAAGCCTGTTCATTAGTATACACTCTTATTGTACTAGTAAAGGGTCTGATCCAGGGAATAATTTTCCCTTGATGTTTTGCCTGCAAGGCATGATCATTTTGCTGAGAAAAAGTTCTAACTTAGTGATATGCATTTCTTCATAGTGACGTTGTAATGGATTTTAATCATTCTAATCGAGAGCAGCTCATCCATACCCTCCAACTTCGTCTGAAGTCCAAAATTTCTTGTATTGCTTATCATTGTTGTATTTAGTTACCGTATAAAAACAATCTGAAATGGAAAACCGATTTTTATTGTGTTGTCAAATTTATAGCTTTCAATTGATTTAGATTCACACTTAAATTGGGGTTCAGGAGCAAGATTAAATGGGGCACGGACTCTTTCTACCAGATTTTTCTTTGTGTACAGTTTTTCATTTGGATACGGAAAGACACACCTTTATCCCAGTCTTAAGAAGGTGATGGCAGTACTGGCTACTAAGTCTATCAAGACAACTTTTCTAACTTATTTGAGGGATATGAAGTCCAAAATTTCCTGTATTGCTTATCATTGTTGTATTTAGTTACCATATAAAAACAATCTGAAATGGAAAACCGATTTTTATAGCTTTCAATTGATTTAGATTCGCACTTAAATTGGGGTTCAGGAGCAAGATTAAATGGGGCACGGACTCTTTCTACCAGATTTTTCTTTGTGTACAGTTTTTCATCTGGATACAGAAAGGTGTTACCTTTATCCCAGTCTTAAGAAGGTGATGGCAGTACTGGCTACTAAGTCTATCAAGACAACTTTTCTAACTTATTTGGGATAGTATTGTGTTCTTAGTCTTCTAAATGGGTTTTTGAGGGATATACTTAGTTTGCAAAGGAATTGGAAGCTCTCTTCTGTTTATGCTTTTTGTTTTTTGGACAATACCTTATCCACTTGTCTTGTACTCTCTAGTAATAAAACATTCTTCCTATATATATACACATATATCTATATGTACATAATCACTTTGCTATCTCTGACTTATTTACGTGTAAGTTTATTGAATCTATCTGAGGGCACCTTGTTGGAAGATGACCATTTTTCCTTCTCAGGGTACTACTCTTTATGTAACACTTGAACCATGTCCCATGTGTGCTGGAGCAATTCTTCAAGCAAGAATTGACACACTTGTGTGGGGAGCTCCCAACAAGCTTCTTGGAGCTGACGGCAGTTGGATTAGGTTGGTAACTTCTCTATGGATTTCCACTGCAATTGAGAACTAATCTTGCTTAATGTTATATTTGACAGAAGATAGGTCTATTCTTCAATTTTTGTTTGCAGAAGTTATAATGGTCCCCCCACCCCCCAAAAAAGAAAACGAGTACATGGGTTGTGCATGCCTTTGGTGCATATACTTAATGATATTTTTACACTTTTTATTTCACAAAAAAAAGGAAAAAAGAAAGGAGCCTGATTTGTCCTTGTAATTTTAGATTGGGGCCCTTGTAGAACAAGCAGTTGTAATTGTGTTTTCTATCCTAAAATGACTGGGAAAAGATAAACAAGGTTCAAGTATGGATAGACCAAAATCTCCTGGTTTCTAGGTAGGGAGAGAGATTTATATTTAAATAATTTTATTGAGAAATCCTTAGATTGGGGTGATTTGGAAAAGTTGAGTTGATTTCTATATCGTAGTGGCAAACTTTTCATGTTTTGTTATGGGCTGGTTTACCTATTTAAAAGTATTTTCTGTAAAAGGTCTGTTTTTATTCCATTTCTTCTTAAAATTTAATGTTTGTCCATGAAAGAAAATGCTGAGCTAGTTTCACAGAATCTTGAACTTCATGAAACGGAAATAGTCAGAATGTTTAATGTTTTGTATAGTTGACAAATTGGTAAGAGATTCTATCTTTCTCTGTTTCCTTCCAAAGGGCCAACAAAGTTTAATGGATGGCATTATGCAGGCTTTTCCCTGATGGAGGAAATGGATCAGAGTTGAGTGATAAGCCAGCTGCTCCTGTCCATCCATTCCACCCAAAAATGAAAATCCGGAGAGGAGTATTGCCATCAGAGTGTGCTGATGTAATGCAGCAATTTTTTCAGCTGCGGAGAAGGAAGAAGGAGAAGAATGCAGAAACATCGCCCCCACCTTCTTGTCTTCCTATTAGGGGCCATCCATCAAAAGCCCTGGCTAAGATGCACGATATCTTCCACATCATGTTTTGTTTATAAGGGTCTTCAAACCTTGTTTCTTGCTGTTGGTAAAAATAGGTGCACAAAAGAAATATTAATCATCATGGGTTAACACATTCTTCAAAAGATCTATACCTTTATGAGCATGAATATGATGTTCGGGATGGACCAGCTGAAGTATCTTGTTGGAAAGCCGGCCTTTTCTGAAACCTACAGAGTATGTCTTAATTTGATCAAATGACACGACTGAGAATATATACCTTCTGCTGTAAATTGTAAAACCTCCTGGGACTGGATTGGCTGAAAGTTATTTATACCCGTCTATTCTTTGTTTATAAGATTTTGGGGGAAAATTTATTACTTCAGCTCAAGCTGTAATATTAAATTCTTCAATTGCTTCTCCCTTAAAAGAAAGAACTTTTGTTTGGCATTCTCTTGTTTTTGTGAATCAGATGAATAGAATATTTGAAGTATATGTATTAATATGCGACAATATTGCTCTGACTAAGAGATAGTAGACTGAGAGATAACATTTCATTTTGTTGGTGGTATACAGCATCAGGGTTGTGCAGATAATGATCTAATAAATCTTTGGAGTTAAATTTACAAAATCAAAAGGATATAAATTGGATCTCAAGTACTAGTTGCAGAAAATGTTTATAGCCTGTAGTACATTTTGCGAGCAAGGTGAGCAATATTCGGTTAAGAACAATGACAAACAAAAGTAGGGTTCTTGAATTTTCTTTTCCTCAAATCTGATGGAGACTGCTTACCAATGTCTAGGTTTTCTGTTAAACATCAGTTTGTGCATCACAGCTGATTGTTTGTTGTCAATACCATTTGTGTCCTGTTCACCCTTTCACTTCATGTATTTTATATTATGTCGTATACATGTCTCATGAACATTTAGCCAATCAATAAAAAAAATTTATGGCAAAATTAAAGAAAACATTTACGAAGTAATGCCAGTTTAGCCAAATAATCAGTAGCTAGCATGAATTTAGATCTACCCATGTGGATTTCTTAGGATCTAGATTAAAAAAGTTCAGTATAATGCCAATTCTTAAACCTCTAAATGAGTTACAGGGCTGGTCCATCTCAAAGTAAAACATGATAGTTACTTCTTCATTACGTTTCAGGGCTCCTTGCAAGGCCTAGAACGTCTACAGCAACTTCAAGTCAGAAACCTTTTCAAAACAAGCAAGCTGGCTTTTCCCACAGATTATTACCATCTCACTCCGCCAAATCATTAGAAGAGATGTAGCCTTCAATTGAATACTACATTTCTCCCTCCCAACATTTCATTTACCAAACACTTTATGCTTCTAAGATACCCTTTCCCCTATCTATTTATAACCAATTCGTGTTTCCCACAATTTCCTACCTCAACAACATGGCTTCACTGATTTGGCCTCTCTTCTTTGCCTGCCTCAGCTTTCCACTAGCCGTCATCAATGGTCAAGTACCGGCAGCTTCACCCGTTATAATACCCTCACCATCAACCTCCACGCCGCCTCCTTCCACCTCTGCACCTCCTCCAACCTCCACGCTGTCACCATCTACTCCTCCAACAGTAGCAACTCAGCCACCGGTAAGCGCAACTTCTCCTAAATCACCACCCGCTCCCAAGGTTGCACCAGCCACAAGTCCTACAGTCTCACCTCCTCAGATTCCACCACCACAGAGCCCCCCAGTTTCAACTCCATCACAATCACCAGTTGTGCCACCACCAGCAGTGCCACCACCAGCTGTACCACCACCAGCATTGCCGCCCACTCCTGTCCAAACACCACCAGCATCAACACCAGCACCAGTGAAAACTCCACCTGCACCCGCTCCAGCACCAATTACTCTTTCACCAGCTCCTGCACCTGCTCCTACCAAGCACAAGAGGAGAAGGCACAAACACAAGAGGCATCATGCCCCAGCTCCAGCACCAACCGTTCCAAGTCCACCAGCACCACCAACAGTGCCAGACCCTGATGATACAACACCAGCACCATCACCATCTCTAAGCTTGGTAATATGGTCACTCTAAAAGGCTGTTGACCAACCTGCTCTTTTATATGTGACAAAAAATTTGCATGAACTAAACAATTAGATTTCAGAAAATATCTGTATAAAGACTGAAAAATATTCTGTTTGACAACTGCTGTGTTTTTGGCTTACAGAATGGAGGAAATACAGTGCGAGGCATAAGGTCTGGAACATGGATGAGGACTGGATTAGCCATTGCCATTCTGCTGTCTATTACAGGCTGCAGAGTCTAGCAAAGTTATACAATGAGCCATGGATTTATTTTTATACTCAGTAGAGACAATTATTTCTTATGTATACAATAACGTCAAGTTAAAAATTGAGCCATGAGAATATTTTGTATTTTTAACATTCCAGCATGGTTAGCATTTAATGAACATGCATTATAATTATAAGCATCCATTCTGAATATATGCAAAGAACAGGATAATATTATGAGAAACCATAATAACATACTGAAAATATGAAAAAGATAAAACAAAAAAAAAAAGTCACATTCTTCATCACTTGTCAAACTTGGTCTGTACTTGAGTTAACATTGGTTTCTCGCAAGTCATACTCAACCACAAGGCCGAGGTTGTCCACTAATTTGTGATGTTGGAGACACCCTGCACACTGATGGGAACTGCTACTTGTCAGGCTGATGAAAAAAATATATTTTTGAATAGAACAAGGAACAAAAACTGCAGCAAAATATATAGTTTTATTAGGACTGAAAACTAAGCATAATATACATATAGGCATATATTTCTCCCTAGTGACATCCACTTCGGGTGTATAACTGGAATCTTAACTAAAATGGCATTCTTTCAAGGTGGGTTCAACTAGTGAACTTGAATGAGAATCCAATACACCAATCCAACCACTTGTTCCATTGTACAACAGATTAGCGGAAGCATAAGCTGTCACACCTTGGCAACAGCACAGATTAAGTAGCTAAATCCCCTTTTAGTTACTATAATGCAGTGCATCCTTGCCTCAATAGGAATGCAAAGTCGATGAACCAAATGAAAGCTTAAAGGATAAAGTTCTCAAATTATTTTAAAAAAGGGTAAAATTCTCAAAGATATGCAGCATTCGATTTATGAATACGGTAGTGAATCGAAATGAGAAGCAAGAATGTGATGGAGAGGTATACAGCTTTAACACTAAACTGAAGCGAGAATATCAAAATTAACTGCTAGAACCACCAAAAGGAAGTCTTAATAGCAAAGGAAGTTTCTCTTTTTCCATTGTTACTGATTGCTCTTATAAGTCCTGTAAGAAGACAATGAGTTGGAAGCTGGAATCATTTTGTCCTTAAGTAACATGATTCCCAAGAGAACAATAAGTTCACCTTGAGCAGTGTTTATGAACCAGAAATTTTGTCTGTATTCTTCCATGGAATGCAACAAACTTTGGAAACTCAAAAAAACTGAAGAAATACAGAACAGGGCCTTAATCGTCAAGAGAACTAGTATAAGAATTCCTTCAGAAAAAAAATCAACATAACTTATCAATTACCTGAACAAAAACAGCCCCCCTTTCATAGGCTAATCGATTTATGAGCCGTTTTGTTCTTTCACCACATGCATTACACGTAAATTGCACTAATAAACTTCTTCTTGGTAGTTTTATATCAAAAGTGGCACCCTGAATAGAAAATATGCAGGAAATAAAATTAACTGAACAAAAACAAATATTTATTTATAACAAGAATATAAATGTTACCAGGTCTCTATTAAATAAGCGGCCAAAAGTGTCCTTAACAATGAAGCATGCTGTTCAACAGTTTGAGATGCTAAGCTTATTTCTACGGATCATCAGAAATCAGAAGTATATTAAGACAGGTGTGAGTCCTTGACCAAGTGAGTGCAAAGGAGGCTACTTCCCTCTCATATATTATCGAATAAGCATGTCCACATGGTTCATATTATAGGGCTGATTACAATGGGAAGCCCTTGCTTTCAAGTTCACCCCAAATTTTTATGACTGGCACTGTAAGAGCACATTAGCAAAGCAACCTAGTAACTGATGATGTTGCCTAAAGGTAAAAAGTCTGTTGGTGCAATGTTGCCTGAGCAGAGAGAGGTAGTCATGGAAGAAATGCAAGCCCTAGAAAAAAAAATGTAACCTGGGAAGTAAGAACGTGCCTAAAGCTAAAAAGTCTGTTAGTTGCAAATGAGTGTTCTATACCGAAATGCAAAGCTGATGAGACTACTGAATGATGTAAAACTTGACTGGTTGCAAAAGGATTCACTCAAACTGATAGAGTTGAGAGAGTTAATTGTATAGAAACATTTGCACAAATGCCAAAACTAAACTTAGCCTAGGTTCTTCTATCGTTGGCAAAGGTTGTTTGAAGAAGTTCCAAGGGACGGAATTGGTAGGACTTCCCCTATCTCCTGTCCACTTGGAAGAAATTATTCGAGTTATGTACCTTGTTCCCGACCAGCAATCCAAGAAAAAACGGCAACGGATACTAGTTAATTGGGAAGACCTTTTTTCTGGTTCATACTTTATTGGAGGATGTCTTGGAAATGTCCCAACATTATTCTTCCTTGGTGCTTGTGAACGCTTCACCTTTAGATGGGGGAGAGTGATGTTACACACACAGGTGAGGAAGAAATAAAGCAAGTTGCAGAAGAAGATGAGCAGTTTACCAGTTTGTTATATAGCAATAGGCATGGAGAGCACAAGGAGACCAATGCAGAAGCAGTGACCAATGCAAAAGATATGCAATTTTGGATTAGTAGCTTTGATTTAATTTAACACTGGAATTATTTTTTCCAGTTTACTCTTTCAATTAATACCAATTTAGTCTATCTTTGATTTCGTATCTCAATCCTACGAATTTGGATATAAATAGTACTAGCTCTCCCTAAAAATATCTACTTCAATCAATGAATAAAGCATCAAACATTTTCACCAAACTAGAGTATTCTCTAGAGAATTATTGAGTTCTCTCCAATGAGCCCTAAACATAGGTTGTAAAGGCCAAAACTCCAGTAAGCTGCAACGTTGTTGGAAGACTTTGATGTGAATACACCTGTGCCTAGATCTCAAGTTCGGGACCTTATCAATTTACAGCACAAATTAACAAGCTGCTATTGCAAATGGTGAATGTAACAAGGTGCAAAATCTCCAGCTTTAGAATATCACCCCACTGCCTCTTCAAATGGCAATGGCTGGTGCAATGATGCATGTTTGATGAACTATGTTGATGCTTGATCCTTCCAACTACCAGTTCTATAGTCATTTTACAAGAAGAAAAAAAAATGAAAGACTCTTTGGTAGTTTCATTTCCAACTCTCTGCACTAAACTTTAAGATTTTTTGGAGTTGCAATGCCATGGCAAGTCTAGATCTAAGAGTTCTGTAGAATAGCTTGAGGTCAAGTTGACTTCAAGAATAGGATTGTTTCTTAGGAAGTTAAAAGTGAAGCAAATTGTGGATAGTTATGGTCGGATGTTTGGTGTAATGGGTACAAATAAGCTATTGGGTTGACTGTGGGTTATCTAGAACTAGAGAGCTCCAGAGAAAGAGAATACCCATGGCTATGAAATGGTTAATATGAATGCTCTTCCTCCATGTCTCTAAGCCTCTTTTTCTCTTCCATAAACTCTTGATCCTCTACAAATTCATTCCCCTATGCTATTTTTAATTCCAGCATATACAAGATTTACTTGTAATCATCATAGCATACATCACTTTTCTAACTCAGAACTTTGTGCAAACATCTTCACATTTCATTCATAAAATACCTATATTCTAGTCAAGTATAACTTCATATACAACTATTAAATCCAGAGTTTTTCAGATCTCTAAATATTGGGACAATTTCAAACTTGTCACAATACACCATATTTCCAACATCCAACTGTTTGCTGATATTATACAAACACAAACATATATAACTCGCAGATAAATTAACAAATATTGAACCGATATCCTATCATGAAAATCTACAACTACTCCAAAAAAATTAAAGAAAATAGAAGGTTTTCAAGAATTAAGCTGAAATTACAAAAATAAAATAACAGTACCGCGCTCGAGTTGCTCAATTCTTCTTCCGTGTTCGTCCCAGAACCATCGTCTACCAACCCAGAAACCGTTAATGACCGGTAAGCTCGCTTCGGCGCTACTGCAGTTATATGAGCACTACTCAGCCTGGAAAGAAAAGGAAACAAACTTATGAAGGAGAAGAAGTTTAAATAGGAAAAAAAAAAAGAAAGGAAATTGAACAAAACCCGGAAAAGAACAAGAAAGATTATTGTAAAAACACCAAAAAGAGTTGAGTGTTTTTGGAGTGGTGACCTGGTGCATTTAAGCGCAGGTGTCGGTTTCCAAGACGCAAAGGGTTTGCAATAGTGAGGACAGAGAAGACCTTTGAATGGCTCGTGAGAATCATTTGCAGAAGAGTTAAGAGGAGATACGCAGGGGAAGAAACTGCTGGCACTCGTCGCAGCCATTTTCTTTCGATGGATTTTGAGTCGGGAAGACAGCAAGGCGTTATATGAATCATCTTTTCTACCCTTGTTCTTTATCTTCCAACCTAAAAATATTTGATTTAATTTTTATCCGAATTTCATAGAAATTTAATTTATGTGATAGTCATGAAATTAATATTAAATAATACGTGATAATGATATATCAAAATTTATTTGTCTTAATACTGAATTAACTAAATGATTATTGTATTTTTAATTAAAGTTTTAGAGCAAGAAAAAAGTACATGAAAGACAAACAAATATTTGTAATAGAGCATTAACAAGAGATTAACGCAACTGCGTTTCCAATAAATTTCTTATCGTTGTTCTATAAAATTTTGTATACAAGTATGGACCATATTTTCATCAATGGAATAATGCTAAATAAGTGGGTTATCTTGTGAAATCAACTTGTACACTTCCTGGAGAAAGGAAATCTTTAATTGAAAACCATCCATCTGACAATAAAATCGAATTCTATTAGCAACTATTTCGAATTAGGCATCAATCTTCTTCATCCACTTCATGGAAGGGAAGTGGCACTGTCTTCACTGCTCTGAACTTGCCTGCATTATTTAGATGCTCATTCTCCAACCTGGACCATTCAAACATCATTCATTACAAACACCTTAAAAAAGAACAATAAGGCAAGTTGTAACTTCAGTCAACTCTCTACCTGTAAAAGTTCCACTGCCCCCTTCTTATGACTTCAAGCGAGGCTAAAAGTAGCCCGGTAACTCTATAATCAACGTGTCCGATATTCGAGTGAACAACAGTCTGTAACCATGCAAGCCTGAGGACAAGGTTTAATCCCTGCATCACACAAAGTACATGCCTTTTCAGGTTCCAGTTCTTGATCACTATGACTAGTAAGTAAAAGTTTAGCTTGTTCATTTTATAGTTGGTAAATGTTTCTGATAAATTCAGCTTTTGGACTAATTTTGATTTGCGGAGTAGTAAATTTTCCTAGACATTATGAGAAAGGCTATAACATATACCATTGAGAAGTAGTAAATGATCTTTCGACGAAGCATTAACTCATTTCTAAGCCAAGGATTCTTAGAATTCATTTGCAACAAACCCCAGTCTTTGACAAAGTCCCAATACAACTGATATACTGTTGCAGCACTTGATGTGATCACAACAAGACACTGCCATCCTACTGTTTGTTCTTTCTCATAAGCCACTTTGGCTCCTGCTGCCAACATTGCTGATACATATTTTCCCAGGTTCACAAGGTGACTCGTCTCCCCTTCGTCAAACCATCTCCGTGCACACTGCCAACCCGATCAACAATTTATATAGAATTTATCTCAGATATTCTTCACTTGGAAAAGGCATAATCATATAAATTATTCAAGAAAACATGCCGGAAATGTGGAAACTTAGTAATTTAGTTTACCTGCATTGCCCTCCAATAGTAGGGTAAAAAGGACACTGCATAAGCAAGATCCCTAAAGTACTTTGCTCTGATACAGTAACCATAGTCCTGGGTCTTGTAGCTACCAGTTATATAGTAACATGCCACATACTCAAGGTTCCTGAGCATTGGCACCTGTTCCATAAAAGGTGTACTCAGTTTTTCAACAAATGTTTCATAAGGAAATGAAGTTATTTAGTCCTGAAAAAGCTTTACCTGACTACAAAGTTGATCAGCCATGAAAAAATCCAGCATGACAACCTGTAAAGATATGAAGCATAGTAATAAGAAACATGATTTGTTCATTATAGTAGGTTAATAAATTTATTGAGGCTCTGCCATGGAATTTACATAATGGTAAAAGAAATACCTTATAAAGAGGTGATAAAATGATGTTTCTAATCACAGATAGGAAACGATATCGACTTGATCTGTAAGATATATTGAAGGGGCAAACAAGCAATACAAAGAAAATCTGCACATATAGAAGATAAAAAGAAAAAAAAGCAAGATATATTAGCATATAAAAGAACTGTCAAATTGTACTAATAGATTTAGATTTACCAATCGCAAGATAAAAAATTTACCAATAAAAGAAGACCAGGGATTGCTTGGACTTGTGAGAGTGAATACCCTTTTGTTACCAGTGACAAGTGAATAAACATCATCCCGACTACAGCAGTCATAGACACAGTACAAATCAAGAAAACGTCTCTGTACTTGAGCTCCTTAGTTGGTGCAAGCTCAAATATGAAGCTATAGTTTATACGAGCCTTTCTCCACATGAAAATATTGCAACCATACAAAAAGAAGTGTAGAAACAACAGGCTGAACATGCTGCAAACAGAAAGTTTCTTCTTTTAGTAATTTTTATCAGGATATCGGATATGATTAATAGCTATTTCCAAGATGGGTAATCAGATTAGAGGAGTACTTGCCTAAGTACAGGATAAGCAGTTTCCATGTATACTGTATCTGGCTGCTGGCTGTACATTCCTGTGATATGAGCCATGATCACATATCCAACTAGGAGGGCAATGAAGCAACCGGTGAACAAGCCTGAATGGTGGAACTATGTTATATTTAACCAATCTTGATTTAGTACAGGATTTTATCAGTATATACATATATATATATATGTATGAATATGAAATAGGAGCATGGTAATCTTTTTCTATTCACTTTGATAGTTCTAAGCATATATGAAAAAGAAAAACGCATGGATTTCTTACACAGAAATTTTTCTATAATAGAGCTTGGTTAGTTGGTAGTTTAGGAGTTAATCAGATTTTATAAAGTGCAATCTTTGTACTGTATATATTTTCTTGGACTATATAATGTTGTGGCATAGACAAAAACTTTATTGTCCACCCAAATGAAAAGTGATCCAGCTGGGACTGCTCCTAGAGCTAAAAGCCTAGTGCTCTAATGGGTCCATATACATGCTGCCAAACTTAACAAGCTCAAAGCTCTGTTTTGAAAACATAATCCCATTGATCTTAATTATATTTTCAAAGAAAAATTGCAAGGAACTCACCAATGAAAAAAGTTACAGAATGTGATTCTTTCCGTTGATGGGGTTTAAGATATTTCATGGCTTTTCTCCGGTCGTCTTCTGCAAATTGTTTGATGAATAGCTTCTCAACTTCATCTGCTAAATTCATTACCTGTAATTTCCAAAAGCTTGTAAGCAAGTAGTTTAACATTGTTCTGCTGCCAAGTGACAGACAAGCATATCTAGGACTGATTTAAGAAAACCAAAGATATGTTTACTTGGGTATCAATGGTCACTTTACATTGTCGGAAAAGTTAATCAGATGAAAGGATTTGTTAGTGGAAAATATCTCCAACAATCATTAGTAGTTCATGCAACATTACGATTGGCTCATGATGCTCCAGTGAGGATTCTATAAAATTTTAGGCTCCAATTACCTTGTCTGAGCTGTTGAAATATGAACTCTCAACTACTTTCAGATAAATGGAAAGAACTTCTTTTCCAGTGACCTGAAACAAAAAGAAAAAAAGAAAAACATCAGAGAAAATCTCATTTGCATTACGTTTGCAAACCAAAAAGAAACATTTGTTGTCTGCAAACCAAAAAGAAACATTTGTAGTTGTTATTTGATCCACTTACTTTGTTAAACTTCTTCAAAATCTTAATGAAAGCTAGCATGTTCGAGTTCCTGGAAGTCACAATTACATTTTAAAAAAGCTTACCATATGTAGATCTGATCCAATTTTTGATTATTCATGAGCTTAAAATGATACCTATAAGTCTTGAGATAACCCAACCCTTTGTAGAGTTCAATATACCCTCTCTTAATCATCTTCTCTGCATGCTGCAACTTAGTTTTGTTGATGTGCAGATTGGTTCCATTTGGATTACATTTCTTCGAAGACTGGTTCACTAAATCTTCTCGAACCAAGTAGCTGATCGCGGAGAAAGTACGAGAAGGTGTTGTGAGGGGAATATTGATCCTCAAGTTCTTCCCTTGGAAGCTGAAAACACGATCTGATAGTGTTCTCAATTTTCTATCATCTTTTCTTGCTCTCATTGATATTCCTCCTGCCTCATCTGATCTTGGGGAATTGGCAAATGGCTCCTCACCTTTCTCCAAATCACTGCTGCCATCTTGCTCTTGCTCTTGCTCTTGCACTTGTTCTGCTTCTGCTCTGTTTTTAACAGATTCCTCCTCTGTATCCAAGGAAAACAAAAGCAAAATCAAACTAATAATCCCGTTAAGGCTAAAAAATATAATGTTTTCCTTCATTATTCTCTTAATTTAACTGTTATTCACTTTTATCTCATCACTTTAAGCAACTTCAGAGTTCACCCACTACAACATTTTTCCTTTTAAGTACAGGGTATCACATTCTCCATGTATATATGTATGTATTATGCTCATGGTTGCATGCATTTGTCAGCATGTGTATAAACATTAAGCAAAAAATAAAAATACAAATCATCATAAGAATTTCTTTTAATCATTCTGCGTTCCTCACTAAATGAGATGAAAGCTGATTAGTTACCACAAGAAATGGTGCAAGATATAGAAGCATCCTCCTTTGAGTCCTCCACAGAAGCTCCTTTACAGTGCTGTTGCTTGATGGCATTCTTGAGCTCTAAGAGAATCTCCATTTGTTTCTTCAAAGATTCTCCTCTCTCCATAAACTCTGTCTCTTTAGTTTTATAAAACTGATTCACTTTGTTAAGTTGCATGTCAAGACAAGCAAAAAACTCTTTAGCTGCATCAGTATCAGCAAACTGCTCGAGCAATTCAGTCTCGTACCAATCACCCTTGCTAGCTGAAGACGCGAGCTTCTTGTGAACCTTTCGAGACCAAAAATAGCACATTAGTTTAAGCACATGTAATGATCGATATAGTGAGTTTACACATAAATTTATGTAGAGATAGAGGTACGCTTACTTGAATAGGACCATGGTGATCTCTACGTTTGGGGCCAAACAAAGAGAGTTTCCCAATAGAGGATTTAAGGATATTAGTGAGAGTATGAGAATTATTATTCTTGTTATTATTGTTAGTGTTAAGGGCATGAATTTTCTTGAGATCTTTCTTGAGTTTCCAGTAATCAACAAAAGCTTCTTTCCATTCAGGGACAAGCTGCCCTTCAAACTGTTTAGAGAATTTCACCATGTTTGTACTCTCTGGTTCTTGCTGCTTGATGCAGGCTTCTGAAGAAGAAGAAGAAGAAGAAGAGAGACAAATATTGGTGTGTGAATGTTGAATGGAAGGGCATGATGACATTATTTATGGACACCCAAAAAGGAATATATGACTTATAGATGATGATGATATACTAGTACATATGCTCGACAAAGCACATTCTAAAATATCCTTTTTGAACTTGTACCACCCCACTTGACGCCCAGCTTCGCCGGAAAAATCATCAAAACCGCCAGTAACCGGATCTTATGAATGCATTACTTACAATAATTGAATCCGGCTGCAACCTTCTAATTGCAGATTTATCTTTAGTATTTTATATATAAATAATCATTGGCCAAACAGGAAACAGAAGATTGCCATGTTAGCAAGTCAAAATCTGTTTACTAGTGGAGATCAATCTAATTGGCTAATTATGTATGAGGACACAAAGATGAATTATAATTAGACCAGCCTGATTTCCACTAATTAAGGATAATAAAAAGTTTCATTTTCCCAGTTCCACTTTGATTAGAAAATGGATTTTCTACTAATCAATTATTCAAAGTAAGTTTTAACACATCCTTTGGTATTATATATATCCTCTTATTTTTTAATTATCATTGTTTTGCTTGTTTAAGGTTTAATCAAGTTTTTTTGTACAATTTAACTGTGTAGCGTATGTTCTAATTTATGATACTTGGA